TACGAATCGATAAAATGAAAACTTAAATGAGTTAACATAATGTAATGTTTTACTGCAGAAAATTTTATTTTCCTGCATATCCCACGTATATTTATATACTATAATATACGCATAAATACGTTTTGCTTGTCTATAATACTATAACGCTTTTCTTGACAATTTTTAATATTGCATTTAATATTTCGTATATGAAAGGATATCATGAAAATTTTTTTAATAATACTTCAATTAAAAATCTGTATATTCCATAACATTTTTCCGTGTGACATGTTTCTTTCTTATCAATTATATAATCAATAATTAATTGGTGATGATCGAAAAGTGACACTAACGAAATATCCAATTGCATCCGAATGAACGATGAGATGTCAAGAATTATAAATTATGAGTCAACAGGCTTTCATCCGCGCGGATTCTCTTCCTCTTCCTCTCTTCTTTCTTTTCCTCTTTTACTTCTCGTCGCGAAATGAATCGGTCTCTCAAAATGCGCCAGAGATACGTCGTGCGAAGCTTGTATATTTGCGATCTCGTTCCTCCGGTCGAGGAATTGCACGGCGTCACGCCGCTTCCGGGAGTGCGGCAACGAACCCTGGGGGCACAATAAAACTGCATCTAAACAACGTCAGCGGACGACAGGGCAGGCGAATGCGCGGGGCGATGGCGGATGAAAGGAAAAGGGCGAAGGGCACGAGGAGGGGCAAAAGGGGAGGAGAGATCCGAGCTGCATCGTTACGAAAAAAGGCTGGGTCAGATTGGTAGCGGCGGAGGAGATTGAGGCGAGGGGACCTGATCGGGGGAAGACGTGATCGTGTTAACAACAACAACCACTGGAGAAAGGTGGGCGTTTCGAGCGATCCGGTTTGAATAAGTAGTTACCGGCCTAATAGTGGTGCCGGACTGTGACGATCGTTGAATACCGAAATTTCGGCTAGGCACGCCGAACCACGAGCAGATTGGTTAAAGAAGGGGCGAATTCGGGAGGGTTGCCGACAGGGCAACCAGATTGCGGACTTAGTTTAGATCTATAGTGTCAAACCGTTATAAACACCTCGATCGATCCCACTAACTTCTCGTTGCTATCTCGTATACGACCGTTGAACGCGAAGCCGTTTTTTTCCCCCCTTTGACCGGTCATCACCCTCTTCAATTGTCAGTTTTTTCCCTGTCCGGCACGTATTGAGAAATAACTTTCGAAATGTACACCGCAGATGACCTCGATTCGTATAAAAACTACTAGATACATTTCGCTTGTAATTGGATTTTGCTCACGAAAAACGATTTGGAGAATATAAAATTGTATTGCACGTAATTATCGTCATTTTTTATTTAATTAACTTAATCAGGATTTATCGATAATGAATCTTATTTTTTTTATCACGATATCTTTAAAATGATTGAACAAAGATGTAAAAATTATATTTTGAGAGAGATGCATCTGAAGTTTTTATTTGATAGGACACTTGAGAGAAAGAATTTACTTTACTTTACGTTTAATATTTATTGAATAAAGTATTAATGATGTACTAATTATATTTAAATGCATTTCTTTCGGAATGTAATTTTTTTCATATTCTTTTCCATCGTCTCGAATTTTTTCTACTTCACCGATCTAGGCAAAGCAAGTAGGAAACAAGTGAACGCGATGCAAGATAAGACCGAGGAAATGTCAGCATCTTTTCTTTTTCCCTCTCGCGAAATTACAGAAAAATGAACGTCGTCCGTGGACGTTTCCTCGTTTCAAAAATATCAGTGGATTTCCGTGCGAGGGAGAAAACGCGAGAGGAGATGCGAGTTATCAAGGTTACAATTTCCGCAATTTTCACGGCGTCGTAAATCCCAGGGACGTGAAATCTCCTCGCAATAATGAATTCGTCGTGAGCTAGTAAAACATCGGAATAGCTCTTTTTCGATTTCGAAGAGTAAGTTACTTCTCCGTGGTTGATTCATCCAGTGGGTTACGAGTCTTATCAAACTGCAAGTAAGCAAGTGGTTTACGAGAGCACTGCTTTGCGTTCCTTTTAAATTTGAAACTTTCTCCTCCCGGGAAAGTCGGTTTACGCCCATCGTTGGAAACTTTATCTTTTAATTTTCCATTTTCCAGTCCAGTCTGTTAACTTTTCATTTTTCGTGAAAAAAAAATTATACTTTCGGTAAATGTGAATGTCCGTGAAAAAAAGAATTCTTTGTATCTGCGGTTGAAAATTATGCAGAAACAATGATGTTACGAGGATTAACAAAACAGAGAATTGTTATAATATGGAAAAGGGGATGGGAGGAATAAAAATGAAGGAAAGGTTTTTTTCTCGATGGCGTTCTATTTTCGATCATTTTTAGTCGTTTATAAGCATCGATAAAGTTTCTAATCTCGGAAAAAAATGCTCGCACGTAGAGTTTTATGTCA